GGCAAGGGGAGCAGAGTGGGCTCACGCACGGAAGATATGGCAGGATAAAAAAACAGCAAGTGTTCTGTTTCAGCACCGTGGAGAGTTCCCTAAAAAAGCAGAGAAAAGCGAATACATATTTCCTTAAACTCAATCGATGGCAGCAAATCCATTTAGCGGAAATTGTTTGTAGGCCAGCCTCATAAATACGTCAACCACAGGATGCGATACAATGTTTCTCTCTATTTTCTTCTGCAGAGTGCCAAGACAATTCACATTCACTTAGGGCCAAAAGCAAATAATACATACAATATTGCACTGCGTGTACTGTATGTATGATACTTAGACGCCTTATATACAGGAGTGTGTTGTGTGAGCATGCGTTATGGGATTAAGAAAGAACGAAACATTTACCCTATAGTGTGCCTGTGGCGCCATCTCCAGGACAACAATTTAGCATTCATGTTTGTAACTATCTGGAGAGTAACGATACAATTGCAAGCAAGCTTATTTTTATGATCACGTTGCTACAGTTCAGTAAGACTGATATCTGTCTTGATATCTGTTTATTTTATGTACTATTCTGAGATACTTTTGTTTTGCCCCGTGAGGCAAACAATTAGGCCAAGACCTAGGAAGCAGGAATGTGCACCAAAAATGTTTTTAAATATATTTTGTCCAAAGCAGGCAACTGAAAATGACCTCCTTCAGGTACAGACTCGTGACAACAAGATCAATTATATCACTAGGCAACTCTTAAAGCTGGAACGCATGGCAGGAGGGAAACCAGCAATGTGGCTAGACACAGCATAAACATCAAGAGATTCAGGGAAGCAAGATATTACGATGTAGTTTAGGGTACTTTAGCAATTAGCTTGAATTAATCACTTTAATTCAGTCAATTGGCTTCCCCATAATTTCTTGAAATCCCTTTGGTAGAACAATACTTGTCAGAAGTGTTGCTTATCAAACGCGCTGCTTATGTTTCAACATTGAATCGATGATCACTTACTGTAGAGTGACTCAGCGATATATTTAGCTTCCCGAGGGTTAATTCTCAGTTTTACTATTCAACGTGTTTTGATGAGGCGCAGAATGCAAATTTTGCCTCGCAAACTGCGAGAAGAAATTGCTTATTTCTTGTCATGCATTTACATAAATCTAACTTAATGCAATTTTCTATTGGTCTAACTGATGTCTGACATACTTGAATTTCAGTACTTATTTTTTTCCTTTATTTAAGCACAGTGTTAATGTTCAAATTTGCCACAATGTCTTCCAATAACAGAGGTATTTAATGAACACATAGGCCTACTACGTTTCTGTATTTTATTGTTGGATTGTTGGCAGTGATGGTGATACTTGGATTTTTAGGTGATGCTTTGTGTTACAAATTTGACAACCACAACCACTTGGACGGCCTGCGTGTATTGTACCCTATTGCAGGGGTCCCCAACCGCCGGTCCGCGGACCGGTACCGGTCCGCAGAGCCTTTGGTACC